GGAAAGATGCATCACTCTAGGAAAGAGTCACAGTCATCAGAGGGAATCTTGCACACTTGTGGTTTTCTCTGTACTGAACCTTGACTTCCCAGTGAAGTTGTGCTCCAGCTTTTCCAGGGCTCAGCCCTGGGGCCCTCAACCTGGGAATGTTAAGTGGGGTTCTGCCAGGGTGCCTTCTCCTTTTTCTTGAGAGATGGAGCCCATCTCACATCAGCCAGTCATTCTTGGGTAGCTGGGGAGTTAGACCCTTGGTATTTGTCGTCCTTCCCTTAAGTGGCTCTTCTTCACCCTAGAATGAGTAGAAACAGCTCAAAATTGGTTGGCATGTGAGTATCACTCCTCTGTAATTATCAGTCTGTTCCAGGTTTTCCCTTTTTCTTTTAGGAAAAGGCTTATTTTAGCTGGTTTTTGGAAGATGTATAATTAGATACCTATGATGAAATAAAATGGTGAAGACTTAACTAGGGAATCAGGAATGGATCTTAAAGCTTATTTGAAATAACACCTCTCCTGCCAGCCTCACAACTGTGATTTGAGGATAAAATGAAATGGTAAATGTCAAAGGGCTTTGAAGGCTGTTTGGAGCATTATGCAAATACTAAGTTGCTTTGTTATCTTCACATTTTATGAGACCAGAAATCAGTAGCCTTGCTGGAAGCAAATTTGAGTTGTGAATTTTTTAAGGGTATGTGATAATGGGAGATGGCTATTTAGGTGAAGCACAAAGCCATTCTATTTCCATGTGGTCCACCCCCTTCTTTCACACAATACATCGGAAATAGAGGTTTGTCTTGTTCTTTATCCCCCCAAAGAGAAGGCTGGCCTGAATTTCCACTTTAGATGATTTCTTTGAGTGCCAAGAGATTGTTTCAGCCAAAGAAACTAATCTGCAGATAGGTCTGCCCCCTGCACAATGCCCAGCATCAGGGGCAAAGGCTTTAATTAAAATGGAAGAGTTGGTAATTTCTGACCTCTCTGGGAAGCTTAAAGTTGATGTGGTTTGAATGAAAGTAATGACTTTTACTTAAAATGCAAATATTAATGTGAGAACCAGGGACTGACTTTTGGTGCAAGCAAAAGAGATTGTAATTTCGTTTTCATGTCTTTTCCCTTAAAGAAATGGCCCTTTTCTTCCCTGACACTCTGTCATATGTACATTTAACATGTAAGGTCCTTTTGTCTCCTTGCATTTCCTTGCAGTTGGCAATTTGTCTTTTTAAATTCTTAAAAGCAGTGCATGTGTGAGGTATTAATAAATTTGAAAAAGTCATAAGGATTTGCTTTTGTTGTTCATATTACTTGGATGACATAAATCTGTTTCAGAAGTCGCTTTCCTTCCAGGTTGGTTGTCTGGATGGCATTTGCGCACTGTCTCCGTAGAGACTCCATTTGTACACAGGAAGTGGAAATGATCGCATTGTGAAAAGGACACGTATTTACCATAACATTTGTATGTTCCCAAAGAAAGTTTTAATATTTAAAGTAATGTGTATTGCTCTTGGGCTAAGTAGTATTATCTAATCAGCAAGTATTGCAGTGAAAAAAATCATGCATTTGAATGTTGATAAGATGTTAACGGGTAGCTGGAAATGTGGTCAATTATGCCAGTATATGAATATATGAGTATAAAAGCATTTCAGATCAGTGTGCTTTTTACTAATTACAATCATTGTGAGTAGAAAGTATACTTATTGAGAAATTACAATGGCTTGAGCATTGTGAAGTTATTACTTTTATGTTAAGGGAAAACTGGTTGTAAAAATAAAAAAATGAAAACCATCCATACTTTCTCTACCTATGCTTGGTTTTCCACCTCTTACTTATATACTTACAAATATTTATATCATCTTAATCACAGTACACAAACAATTTTCAGTTTAGCATTTTCTGTTCAACATTCAGTATGTAGGAAACACTTTTTCAATCTCCAACTGAACATAAGGGCATCCCGTGGCTACTTTAACCAGCCTCTTGTCCAACATGTAGCTACCTCCCTGAGTTGTTGTTTCTAGCTCAATGCTGCAATGAACATCTTTGCTCAAATCTAAGTTTAACATTTTGTGGAAATATTTTTGTTTGCTTGGTTTTAGAATAAATTAGAAGGAGTGAGGTTACGATGTCAACTTTCAACCAATTTCTGTGGGTAAGGGGTTGAGAGGAGCCAAGTGGGGGAAGACGCTGTGGGTTACTCGGTATGCCCCACCTTGAGGTAGAGGTGAGTATGCCAGGAAAAAAGGAGAGGACTCACTAGCAGGGCTGGACCCTGAGCTGAGGCAGAGGAATTATAGGGGGCCTGAGAGCATTCTGGTAGCTGCCTCTTTCTCTTTCTCAACCAACATCATTTGGAAGTGGTGTTGGGTTTGAATCAGTCTAACTGGAAGGGTGGCTCCACACTCTTCTCACTGAGAAGTGGACTGCCTTTGGAGCTTTTACTGTCTGCCTGAAGTTAGGGTTGGCTTGTGGGTGGGAAAGGCATTGGACCCCGTTCAGGCAGCCCAGGAAAAGCTGCAGGAGGACAGAGGCAATAAGGAAGACCAGGCAATAGAGAAACAGAGAAATGATGAACTAGGATGTCTCTGCCATCATTCCTGAATGAGGTGGGATTTTCCAAAGCACTGTTTTTCTTCACCCATACACAAGGACAAAGACAGTACCTGGAGGGCAGTCAGTCCTGTCAAAATTAGAGGCTGGCAGCGCTGAGGAGAAAAACTGGCCTTTAATGAAGAAAATTGCTAATAAGACTCAAACCCCAACATCTCTCATCACTAATGGCTTTACAGCAGACTTATCATTTGCTTCCCTTTTCTTTTTAGCTAATGGGTTCTTACTAGTTTTGTCAAGCTGCAATTAAATAAACCAGTGAGCTCTGCCTTTGCTGGGAAGAATCTTTTGGAAAGAAATGTAGTATTTTAGCAAAGAGAAGAACTCCAACCATGAAACAGGCCACATTATGAGATTTCCAATTTGGATGTGATTTTGTTGTCTAGGAATCCAGGGCTTTGAGTAGATTGATGGTGGTAGGTAATGTGATACATTCTTCTAAGGGAACAAATGAAACTTTGAAAGCCCACTTCCGCTGGCTTTGAGCTCACACTGGTACTGCTTTGTCTTTTCACTAATTACCTGTCTGTTGTGCTTTTCTCCAGCCCAGGCTCTGTGGCCACATTCAGCATCCTGCAGGTGTTTAATGGTTCTTTTTTCTCTTTTTGACTGTAGCAGTATTCTTAACTTTACCACTACTCCTTACCTCCAAAAAACTAACAAAACTGGAAACTGTATACAGATTTTAGTAATCAACATATTTATCTGCAAAAAACTGTACCAGTCTGCACTGCATCATTCTCAGAACCGTGCAGCAGCTGAACAATGCTGTTGAAATCATCTGGCACAGGTCCACGTAGGTCTCTATTTCACTGTCCTACCAATCTCCCAGGCAAACAAGACTCCAGGTAACCCGTGATTAAAACTGATAATACAACCTGGAAATGGCTACAAATGTATTTCAAAATCACACTCCAGTACCTTTATATGTCTGTAATATCATTCATGTTCCATTAACAATTTTAAACCCATTTAAAGGCCTTGAAAGTGTTCAAGGACTGTTTTAGAAGCATGGTTTTCTTGCTTTGGGCACAATAAGGGGATGAAAAATGTGATAAAGAAGGAAAATGAGACAGAGGGATTTATATCATATCCTGTAAACAAGTTGCAATTTGCCTTGCATTCTCCGAAAATCATTTTGCCTTTGTGGCTAATCCATGAAGGCAAACCATCATTGCAGGAGCTTGGCTGGGCCCCAACTGTAAGTAAAGGCAAAGCAGAACCAATGCCTGGAGAAGAAAGAAATCGGCCCTGAGCAAAGGAAAGGGATAGGCGATGGGAATTAGATAGTGATGGATTCAAGGAGAATGCACATCAGAGCAGTACAGATTCAGAGTTCAGGATTGGTGCACTTGTTGGTGAGACACGTTAAGCATTATGTGGACTGCAGTTTTTCATAGGCGCTGCCTCATTTGATTCTCACAGCAACCCTAATAAATATCACGTTCATTTTGTACACCGAGAAAAAGAGACTCAATTTAGCTATAAACAAATTAGACTGACTTGCTCAATATCACACAGCCAGATGGTGGTGGAGCTGCACTTGGGATCTGAACTTGTCACTGGTGGTGCCCTTTTCACTCTACCATCCTGCCACAGGTAGCAACTTGGTAGTTAAAACTGTAGGGTTCTTTAAAGGTGTGGGAAGTTCAGGTGGGCTCCCTGTTGAGCAAAGTAGTAGAAGAAAGATAGAACTAAGACGAGGTCAATTCTCCATGCTGGGTGTGGACCATTCAATACAGGCAGAAACCCATAGTCCTGCTGATCCTACAGGATGTGGAGCTTTATTTGTTCAACTGCTTTGCCTGCTTGCATGCAACTTGGGCTCTGATCTGTCCTCGGGCTTGCATATGATATCTTTTGTTTGCTTATGATATCTGACTTGGGAAGATCTCTTTTGATAGCTTATTAAGGAGGCTCTATCTAGCATGGGAGAACCAGAGATAAAGCCTTCTGTTGGAGATACTATGAGTGCCAACTCCCAGGAGGGGGTGGGGGGGGGCACTGTCCCAAGATCCTCATGGCAGGGAAGTGGGAGGGTGAGACAAGGCAGGTGATCTAAGCTTTCCATCACAGTTGATCCTTGTATTGCTCTCTCTGCTGACCCATTCTTATTTTGAGGACAATTAAATATATTACGCACCCTATGCTTCAAGATCCCAGTGTTTTAACTTTAACTTTCTTCTTTAACTGTGTTTTCTAATCCTGAAATTATGTTGGCTTTATAACTTTGGGCAAGTCACTAAACCTATGTGAAACTTCACCCCACGTAATCCTCAGGAGTGTGGGGAAGTGTTTTTAATGAAAGTACTACTTTGCACTTACGGTCACTGGCTAAGTTTCCAAGGGTTTAAAATGCTTTCTCTTTCATAGTATTTGCTTCTGCTTTTCCTTCCCAGAGTCGAAAACATGCAAGCAAAGTCCGACTGTATTACATGCTTCACCCCAGGGATGGCGGGTGTCCTGCCAAGAGGCTCCGGTCAGAAAATGTGAGTATCTGGCACCATCCGATAACCTTAAATGATTTGTTCCATTTGCTAAGAACTTTGCAAGTCTAGGAAGTATAGTCATGTCCACCTTAGCAGAAAAGCTAAGTGAGTAGAAATTATTCTCATTAAATACTGCAGAAAATGTTACATGTAAGCAAGTCTTTTCCCTTTTTCCCGCCCAAACTTGCCAGTATGGTGTTGGAGAACTTTGTGATGATTCCACACTAGGGCAGAGCCGAGAAAGAATGTACAGAAGGAACAGAGAGCAGCTGGCTGAGGGAAGGCAGGAGCCATCAGAAGATAAACAAAAGTAGGAAGGATGGCCTAAGGAGAAAACTTGCCAGAAATATCAGATACTTTGCTATTAACATATTTTATTTTTCCTTTGGTGTCTAAAACTGAATGCCAATTCGTTCCTTTGTAAATACTGTGCACATCTTGCAAATAAAAATACTGAGGGTTTTGATCAGTGCCCCTCTCCATGAGGGAACATTTACTTGGGGATAAAATGACAATTAGGAAGTTGCTTTGAGGATGTAAGGTCAGAGCAAAGGGTTTACTTCAGCCAGGCCAAAGCAGGGACTGATAAATAAATATTCCTTCCTCCCAGTAGGGCTTACTTTTCCTAATGAGTAGAATATTCATATCCATCCATTGCAGAGGTCCTCTGTGATAAACACTGCAGATGAAACAGAAATCGCTTGTCCTTTGAGCACTGAGGAGGCTGCAGGCATAGAATTTATGCCCTACACTCTTGCTTATGCTTGTGATTCCTTTCTCCTTCGGCTGCCTTATAGATGGCAGTCTTCTTTTCTTATTAAAAATTAATATATGATCATTGAAGACACTTGACAAGAACCACACTTGTGTGTTCTTCACAAGAGAAAAAGAGAGAACAAGAGAACTGTGGATGACCATGAGTAGTGACCATCAGGGCTGGTGTTAACGAATTCCAAGCACACCTCTTACATCGCACACGAGCTATTCATGCGCAGGCTAATCTGGAACACTGTGGAGTTGTCTTTACTGCCTTGGTGAAGCAGCATTTAGAGCTTATTAGAGGGAAAAGATGTCACAAAAACTTTTCAAGCTGCTAAGAAGTGGGACAGAGACTGGTTCTGTCAGCTCTTAGCCTTATGACCTTGGGCAAATAATTGATCTCTCTCAACCTGTTTCCTCAATGAGACTATAATAATCACCCTTTCCTCACTGGGCTTCTGTGAGGTGTACTGTTATATGCAAAGTACTGAGGAAAGAGAGATGAATAAGGCCCAGATTTGCCTTAAAGAAACTCAGAGTGGAGTGAGGGAGATCAACATTGTATAAAAAAAATTGCTGTAATTGCACAGTGTAGGTGTTTAAGATTCTACACAAAATCCCATGGAGACAAAGGGCAAGTTATCCATGCCAGGACGAGTTGCTCGGGGATGGTGTTACTGAGAGTTGGCATTTGAGGTGGGGTCCTTGGGCTTGAATGGATGGTACCAGTTGGAGGAGGTGGGGGTGGGGGAGGAGACAGGTGCATTCTTGGGTGTATTCCTATCAAAATAACTTATTAAACCTCAGGAGAGTTGACCTGAGCCAGCTTTCATGTAGTATAAGAATCTTGTAGCTACAGCAGAGTCCTGCTTTCCATCTTTCCATTAGTGGAGAGGACAGAATTAGTTCCTTTTCTCTGAAATTATCCAGCAATGATGCCCGTGTCACTTCATTCAGTAGCTTTTTCATGTCTTATCATAATAGTCAAAAACCATAGGGTTCATATACATTTGACAATTAGCTCTTGGAACACAGATTATTTTCTATCTGCTCAAGTTCTAATCATGAATGTTGTACTTACTTATGTCTGAGCTCCTAGGGAGGGCTTGACTGGGCAGACAGAAGGGGGACACTGGGACTCAACTGGTGTTACTTGAGGACATGGTCTTTGCCATTCTGGTCAGACCCATGATTTACCCACTCAGGCCCTGGTTCTGCCAGTAGCACTGGGAATGATTTATGGAGGGGAAGATATTTGGATTTTTAGAGCAGGAAGTATTTGCAAAGATTCTTTACCAAAGACCCCTTTGAGAACTTTTTCCTCTGGTGTATCCTGAGTTTTGAAAACTTGGATCTACTAATGGTCTGTTTTTTTTTTTTTTAATGTTTATTTATTTATTTTGCAAGAGTGGACGGGAGAGGCAGAGAGAGCATATGTGCGTGTGTAAGCAGGGGAGGGGAATAGAGAGAAGGAGAGAAAGAATCTCAAGCAGGCTCTGTGCTGTCAGTGCAGAGCCCAACATGGAGCTCTAACTCACAAACCATGAGATCATGACCTGAGCTGAAATCAAGAGTCAGACACTTCATCAACTGAGCCACCCAGACATTCCTGCCAACGATTTATTTATTAAATCATATTCTATAGCTTTCTGTAATCATAGTATAAGACCAAATCAGTAAGCAGGAAAAGCAACATAATGACTCTACTTTTTGAAAGAGATTGTTGATGATTTTATGAGGGTTTGTTTGCACATACATTTCATAGGTAAATACATCATTTACCTTAGGCATTTTGACATGCTGGATATAGCATGGAAGCCACCCCAGTCCCTCACTGGGGATGTGAAAGTTGAAACTGGTAATTATTTGGCCAACTTTCTTTTGTACAGACTCATACCTTAGGGTTGAAAGGCTTAATATGCAAATAAACAATGGCCAGCTATATGGAAATAGAACTTTGATACACCTGAAGCTAATATAACATTGGGTTTCAACTATACTTTAACTAAAATCAATCAATCAATCAATCAATCAATAAATAAATAAATGAAAATAGAACTTTGACCCATAACCTATAGCAACCATCCTGGGAGTCCAACCCATTAGTATATAGAAAACAGCCCCGGAAGCCTGCCTAAGTTAAACTTGTAGGAAGTCAGACCGTTATCTCTAGTAACAATCCAGGAAGCCAAACCATAACCCCTGTAACAATAGGCCCCAAATGGTCTGGACTTGATTAATACTTGATAGCTTTCCTAATTTTTGTCCCTGCTCCCTGTTTGGAACCAGCCAGAGAAAGCCAAATAGGCACTCCTAAACAATCACATAGGATGTCCACCTCTAGTTCGCCTACCTACAGCTTCCGCACACAAGCAGTCTCCAATCAGGGCATACCTGAGTCCTCCCCTTTATTCCGTTACAAAGCTTTCCCACTTATCCGTTTGCCTTGGAGTCTTCTCCAAGGCAAGTGATGGTGACTGACATTCTTGCTCTAGTAAGCTCTAAATAAATAGCCTTTCTTTTTCTCATTTGGTTGGTCTTGTTTATTTCCACAGGGCTATAAAATGGGGATAAAAATAACATCAGTGTACAGGTTTAGCATAAGGTCCAAATAAGATAACTTATTTATTCAGCACTTTATTTTCAAAGCTCTTTCTACCTGCATTATTATTATTGATTCCCTCTCCACAAATACCCTGTGTCTTAGAAGAATGTAATACTCTGTTCCACCTGCCTCTCCATCATTGCACATCCTCCCCACTGTCCTGCTTCCTGGGGCTGTGACAGGTTTGTAGCCCAGTCTTGGCTGGAACTAGTTTCATGGCCACCCTGACTACCCAACAAAGTGAGTGACTTCCAAAAACAGAGAAAACTTGTTTCTGAGTCTCCAATCCCTGAATGCACCTGAACCTTGGCCCCACAGTGATCCCTAAAACTGATAGGGCTGATAAGTTATGGCAGCCACCCCTCCCTCCCTACTTCTTAGCCCTCTGGGAATATGCAGTAACTCCAAGTCTACATACACATGAACACAAGTGCCTATGATTATTCCCAGGGTCAATTGTCATTTCTACTCCAGGTTATTTGACTTTGTTGTTGCTTTTCAAAAACTTAAAATTCATTTCTGCCTCCTAACCTGGTATTTCCAGCTTTTTAAATTCCCCCTTCGTGTGCTTCAAATGCTCATTCGGATCTTCTATGTTTTTTTTTTTTTCCCCTGAAATCTTAGAGCAAGACATTTTCCTCCTGAGGCCACAGAGTAAAATTAAATGCAAAATAAATTGTTATAGTTGATTGCCTTAGAGAAATTTTCTGTAATCCTGTGAGCATTAGAGCCAAAAAGGAACGTAGAGCGCATCTAGTTCATTGAGAGTCTCAGGTTTTCAAGATACTTTTTAGTATCTTCTCACTTGCTTTGGAAAAAAAAAATGTCTACTTAAGAAACAACATTTTTAAGTAAAGGGATGATTTCATTTTACCTTTAATTTTATTCTGTAAGGATAAGTAACTGCCAACAAAAACCACCAGTCAGTATTAAGTACATGGTGTTTTTACATCGAGTTAATAGAATTCCTCCTAAGTGGAAAAACTTGACATTTGGTTGGTGTAATCAAGCTTCTCACTTTTAAACACTTACATGATTTCCTATAGGTCTGGAATATTCAGCAGAGCTGGAGCACCTCCAGGATCAGTTTCATGGGTCCCTAAAATCCTGGGTTCCAGGTCAGGAGGACTATCTAATCCGACTGTTTTGTGATGAAGGTGAAAAAAAGGTCCAAAGAAGTACCATGACTTGCCCAAATTGGTCAGGCCTGAGGCTGAGACCCTCCCTGCTTCCCTAAGTTCTATTCCTAGGCTTCTCCCACATATCTTGAAATTCTGTCTTATATTTAGACATTGAAGCCATTGCTGGGTCCAGAGCCAGAGAGCACTGCTGTTCTGGGGCAAAGTAATAATAGCTGGTGCTTAGCAGGTACCTCCTACTTATATTCTAAATGCTTTACATACATTAACACATTTAATCCTCACTCCTGTATAGGGTGGAAACTATCATTATCCCCACTTTACAGAAAAGTAAACTGAAATAGAGAAATTAAGTCACTTGACTCTGGTCATACCGCTGGCAAGTGGCAAAGACAAGGCTGGGGAAAGACAAAACAAAATGAAAGAAAATTCCTCTGGTTCTGCAAACTAGCTCACCATGCCACTTCCTGAGATTGGTGGTAATCAGCTAGTAAGGA